ATTGATAGGTGGGCTGAGACAATTATAAAAATCTAGATGGGCATCTTATTTTACAGAAAATTCAAGCAAAAAAATTAAACTTCCTTTCTTCTTTCTTAAAAAAATATAATCTAGGGGTCGGCCCGGTGGCACAAGTGGTTAAGTGCGTGCACTCCACTGAGGTGGTCCGGGGTTCGCAGGTTTGGATCCCAGGCACGCACCGACGCACTGCTTGTCGAGCCATGCTGTGGCGGCATCCCATATAAAGTAGAGGAAGATGGGCACGGATTTTAGTTCAGGGCCAATCTTCCTCAGCAAAAAGAGGAGGATTGGCATCAGACATTAGCTCAGGGCTGATCTTCTTCAGAAAAAAAAAAAAAAAAAGAATCTATATGTCTTCCTTCTTTGATATTTTATATCAAAAATTGTCCTTGGCTTTGTGAAAATGGCATAGTATACAGCATAATAGGAAAGTGGAATTTAAGTTGTTGAGTCTCATCAAGCTAAAGATAGTAGGTTGGTTTGAAATTTAATAATAGGGCGGCCTCATAGCCTTTTAAAAGCCATTTAATAATAGAATTGAGATAATGTCTATTTTTTTCCCAGAAGATCCCTTTAAAATTCCTATAACTATAAAAATAGTGCTAATGAAAAAAAATGTAGAAATGCTGATCTCATTTCAAGGAACAATTTAAGCATAATCCCTGACTTCAAAATAGCCCACAAAATGACTTGGACATGAATCACAAGACAATAGGGAATTTTAAGGGAAATCTGTTTCAAAATAGTCCAAGCAATTTGGCATCATCATTAAACATATCTAAGGGTAATTAGGCTTCATTGACGAGGTGATACACCCAAACTCTTGAGATACAGAAATCAGGAAGCTCTAAATTGCTCCTCTTGTATGCTCCTTCCCTCAGTATAGAGATTAGAAGACTAAAGGGCAGAGAGGTTACTTGACTCATCCATAGTTACACAGTAAATTCTGGCTGATGTACCTGATTTCACCTCCTGTTTTATGATATAATATAGTAGGTTCTTTCTTTCACTCTTTTCTTGCCTCTTCTCTCTTTCTTTCTTATATATTGTAATGTGCTATTATATATCTATAACACAGAAAATAACTTATAGAATAACATCACAAGAATCCTTATTAAAATATTAATATTCACAACTGATTTCCTATGAAAATAAAATTTATTGAGGCATATCAGAGTGGGAACTTTTGTTCTTAATTTCAGAGTTGTGTTTTCATTATTGTTGTCATTGCTGTCCAAGATCTCTATTGTGGTGGGTATCCATTTGTTGCATTTAAGTAATGAAAAAAGATGAAAAATTAACTTAATGGGTCTAGGGGCACCCAAAGTTAAATGGAGGTTATTTCATTTGTCAGTAAGAGACATGACAACATTAGTTCTGTTCAATTACTTGTTTCAAGAGCTAGACATGAGCCTTGTATTTGGTGAATCTGCCTGCTATTGTTTGCAAAGCTGCTTCTCCAAATACAGCAGACATATTAATCAAATGTGAATAGACACAATTTACTAATGGTAAGAATGAAAATAATGTAGACTACATCCAAATAACTCACCAGTGAAATACCAAGGCTTGGCCAATCTTACTTGCATCATTACCTTGCAAAATGTTGTCCGTAATTCAGCTAAATATTCAAATCAGTAACCATGCACCTTAAATAAATTTAACTGCAATTCATTTAATCTGCTAAATATATGTTAAATAAGCAAATAGAAAATTTGATTGGCTACCACCTACAACTTTTAACCATTTTATTCTGCAAATAAGAAAACTGAAGCTCAGAAAAGTTAACTTGGTCAAAGTCAAAGAAGTAAGTGGTAGGGCTCCAAAAATTCAGTCAAGTTTTCAATTTCTATTATAACATATAGTTGGTGATCTAGTCTAAAAAGCACCTACTTTATCTGAATTCCAATTTCAAATAATAACTTTTAAATTTATAAAAACAAATATTTTTTAAAATATAAATTTAATATTTAATGTTATGCATAGGATATGGATATCATAGACATACATATATTACATACATGAGTAACCTTGGGAAAAAAACAGTATGCAATAGAATTCAGTGCCTTCACATTAATTCTTGGCTCTAAGGATATCTAGTCACTTCCCACATTTTCTCGTTAGGTCTTCAAAGAGAAGAACCAGTCTTTCCGAAAATTGCTATGTGAAAAATCCTGTAGTTTATGAGTAGTATCCTAGTTCTATAACATCAAAATATTGGTTTTCTCTTTACTGCTTGATATTCGTCATCGCAAAATAAGAAATTCCTTTATACATCCTGTTATGGGTTGAATCGGACCCCCCAAGAAAGATACCTTAGAATATGACCTTATTTGGAAATAGGGTCTTTACAGATGCAATCAAGTTGAAATCATGCCATTAGAGCAGGTCCTAATCCAATGTGACTGGTGCCCTTAAAGGGGAAATTCGGACACAGAGACAGACACACCGAGAAGATGATGTAAGATGCATAAGGGAACACCATGTGAAGACGGAGGATTGGTGTGACGCATCAATAAACCAAAGAAAACCAAAGATCGCCAACAAACTGTCAGAAGCTAGAAGGAGGTAAGGAAGGAAGGAGTCCCCTAAAGGTTTCAGAGGGAGCATGGCTCTGTCAACACTCAGACCTGCCCTCCAGGCTGTGAGACAATGAATTTCTTTTGTTTAAGCCACCCAGATTGTGCTACTTGGTTACAGCAGCTCTAGGAAACTGATACATATCCCAAACCAAACTAATTAGAAGGAATGTTGCTTGCTTTACTAAATTTTTTTCTTTTAGTAGCCAGTTTCTTCCTTTCAAATTGGAGAAACAGAAACTAAATGCACTGCATTCATCCTAGCTCACTCTCGTCTAGTTTTCAGATAATAGCTTGGAAAAAACAGCATAATGTAAATGGTTCTTTCATTTTCAAGAAATAAGTATAAAGGAAAAGGCCACTTAGATAACAATTTCTCTTTGTTTGGAGGCAGTAGTTTAAGGATCATCAGCAAATATTTGAATGCAAAATTAAATATAAATTCATATCAATTTGGCCCCAGCAAAGTCTCTGGTTTGATAACACTGCTACCCATCCGTGGCTGTAACCTGAGTCATCCTTATCTCTCATTTCCTCACAGTATCAGTCATTAAGTCCCTGCATGTGATGATTTTTCCAAAATGCCTCTCTAAATCATCTTTTCTCAAAATCTAGCTACTTAGTTCAAGATTTCACTGTCTCTTAATAGGCTCTTAACTGATCACTTTTCTCCAATTTTAACAGCTCTGATAAAACTGACAGATCCATTTTGTTCCAGTGATGGCAAATGCCACATGTATCATAAAAACTATTATTGTTCATTCTAGGTATTTTACATATCCCTTAATTAACTTAATCAGGAAGAGACCAATACTGCTTAGAAAGATTAAATAACAGACTTAAGGTCATATATAAAAAAGTGGTAAAAAGCATATATAAAAAGTGCAATTCTGTTCCACTCCAAAATATATAAACTTTTTACTCTATCATAAAAGTCTTTTCATATTGGCCATTAGAAAAAAATTTATGTTGGTTGTCAGACAGCTTTTAAGTATTTTAGCTTCTTTATTACTTGTTGATACTTTGGTTTTGATGATTTTTAAAACATTACATGTTGTTATGTTCAAACTATTGACAGACACTCAAGAAAGTAATCAAGGAAGAGTTCCTAAATACCTTGGGCCAATTCCTCTCATTTTTATTTCAGTTCTTTCATTTGATGTAATTTTTGGTGAAAAGGATCCAAGTTAAAATTTCAGATAGTTGATAAGGGTTACCAAAACTAATAAAATTATACATCGGAATGATTATACCTACATTTAAACGTGCACATCACCTAGTTGTGTATACACAGTGTGCACAAACAGAAAAACGTTTAATTTTTCTGATTATAAAACTTCAGATGATTCTAAAGCAGAACAGGGATTTCATTTTAACTTTTTTAAAACCTGTAACCTCTATATTGTCAGAGTGGCTACAAAATAGGGTATTAGAAAGAGTCTGTAGAAGTATCTGTGTATGTTTGTATGTGTGTGTTGATACATTTATCATGAAGGATTTAATGATCTAAAGTAACTTTTGTCTCCCTAGAAGATAGGGACTAGTAGGATGACTAGTAGGATGACCATAGCATTTATCATTCAAACCCGGAGACTTGAGAGGGAAAGGAGGCGGAGGGCATCATTAACAATGATGTTGGACAACAGGCATAATATGGGACTTTTGCTGGTAAACAGAGGCAGATAATCAACCCAAATATGCATACAACTTGATATAGCAATAAGTTAAAGGAAAAGGGAGATGAGAAGAATATTTTAAAATACACTTTAATACAGAGAAAATTAAAATACAGAGAAATGGCAAGGAATTATGTAGAATGGCAATGAATTCAACACCATATTGTTCACTCTGGACCCTATTCAGGTATGTTTATAAAAATCCATATACTTTTTCCTTGAAAAACAGTTCTCACAACTGAGTACATCAAAATACTCTATCACTTTCTATCTGATAAACCCCCTTCTCATAGGGAAGGGGGTGATTCTGTTGATAGTCACCACTCAGTCAGAGAAACAGCATATGAGTCCAGCTTTGGGCTTTGGTTTATCAAGATAGGTTCAAAATGAACGCCTTATTTTTCCTTTTTCTTTTTTTCTAATCCAAACAGTAGCACCATTGGTAGCTATTAGCCATCACTGATACTACTTAAGGAGGCTAATACTCTTTTGCATATTCACCTGTAATTTAATTCAGGTGCCACAGTTACAAAGTATTGCCCAGAAACACAGCCACAAAAATATAATAGTTCATTTTGTAGTATTTAGGGTCATTATCAGCTTCAATTATTTCATCTCATCTTTACATAACAGCTAAAATTTTTAATTCTCTCAATAGTCAAGCTTTTAAAAGAATTATACACCAGCATAATTCATCCATTTTTAAAAGAATACTATTTCCTACCTTTCAAGTGAGGGCTGTGTACGTGCATTCTTTGCAGATGCAGATTTACTGGAACAAATTCCAATGTTCTCTCTCCTTTGTTGCTGCTTGATTTGAAAGAGGACCCTAGGTGAAAAAAACTGATTATTAATAAATTAATAAATGTGTGTGTGTGTACACGTATGTTGAAAAGTACATTTGACACAGGAAAATGTTACAAGAATTTCAGAAAGAAAAACATATACTGTATGGGTTGCTTTTCTTCTCAGAAATTCAATTTAAAAAAAAAATTTCTCAGTTATTCTTATAATAATATCATGAGGTAAAATAGTGCAATTCTTTCCTTGTTTTTAACACCAAGATGGTAGAGTTAGAATAAAGGTATTTTTTTTAAATCTTGGCTTTTCTATATCCATAACAACAATGTTTATTATTGTTTTCAAGTAACATGCGTGAAATGCAATTGAGTTTAAATATGTAAAGTGATTGTTTTCACACCTGTTTCCTTGCCAAGTTCTTTCAGAATTTCTTGGTACATTTTCACCATTCGATCACAGTGAGCAAGCACATTTTTCCGTAGATTGTCCCAGTGTGGAGAAAGCTCACCAAGTTCTTCTAGCTCCTGGTTTCTGTTAAGAATGGAAAAGAGGAGAAAACATTTATTTTGATCTTAAGTCTATAGACATGGGATACTTAATCAGTGTTGCCAAACTAGTAAGAAACTGATTCACCATCACTTTCAGGAAAGCTCTATGTGCTTACTAGAAAAAATATAATTTTAACACAAAGGAAGATATGAATAGTTTAGGTCATACAAACATTAAAAAGTCTATATATTGAAAAACAAAAAAAAATACAGATTAAAATGATTTTTTCACTGATAAAAATTTCACAAAGATGGCAAAGACTTACTATCCTTAACATATATAGAGACCATTCAGTTAAAAAACAAACACCAAAACTTCCATAGAAAAACAGCTAAGTTCTAGGCTTGATCATCCTAAATAAAATAATGTAGGAAGGGCTTTCTATGTCTGAAGGAAATGCAAGATATTCATGTAATCCAGTTTATATATAATATAGCTGTAAAATTTTTTTAAAGCCCATAAACGGTATGATCAGGTATGGTTATATTGGTCTCAGTTTATCTCAAAAGGACAATTTAAGTAAATATTGTATGCAAATGTTTTGTCCCTTCTTTATCAAAAGGAAGAGCTAATCACGCCATTTAGGTTTTAATTATTAACTTTTATCTAATTCTCTACCCTTTAGCCAAGTGAATTTAAATCATCAGAATGTCTTTTTAAATTATAATGATAAATAGTCAAGTAGGCTGCTTGGTTAGATCTCTTATTCATTTCTGTAACCTTTTACCAACAACATTTTCACGAGGCTAATTTAACCAGCCATAACGAAACTTCTTTGTTATTTTGGCTATGCAACGTGCTAAATACCAAGCTAATAAATTCAGAAGACGTAGAATCTTTAATGTCTTGTTAAATCCAAGAATAATGGATGGCGTGCAAAAATGTGACTTGCTTTCAAATGTTTGTAGCTGCCTTTGTTAGTTTTAATGGGAATGCAATGTAGTATTGCTGCATCTTTCATCGATATCTTTACAATTTTTGTGAATATTAATCTCATTCTCAACTTTTCCATAGTTTAGCTTTCATCACACAACATTCATGGGAGAAGAAGTAATTAATCAATAGACAATGAGAGCAAAGGAAGGTTATGACCAAAGAGGGGGTGGTGGTGGCAGGGAGAAGGTTGAAGAATTGGGGAGTCAAGACTTCTATGTGCACTCAAATGGCAGGGTATTCAAATTCAAGACAAAACAAGAACAACCAAAACAAAGAAATAATTCCAAAAGCTTGAGATATCCAAGTCTAGAAGAATCTAGGGCAATTAGGTCAAATCTGAGACAGATAGCAAGTGTGAGATATTAAATTAATACATAAGGTTTCAGGCTTTACTTCCAATATATAGCTATAATAGAAATATTAGTTAAGAAGTCCTATTTAATACTAATAGATGCACCATGGGTTTCCAATTTATGTTGTCTCTGAATTCTTATCAGAAAGAATAATTAAAAGAGAGGTGGTGAGAGAGGGAAGGAAGGCTGATAGCAAAGCCTCTGACTAAGTTATGGGATATTGGGGTGGGCACATCTCCTTTCCTAAGAGAAGCCTGGGGAAGTGTGGTCAGAAAAGTTTAGTGTTTTGTGGGAGTGACTTGAGATATGCTGGAAGCACTTCATAAACTGTGGCATAATATTTATTACCCTCCTCCAATATGTCAAAAATTATATACAGGGATACACAGATAAAACCTGGCATTCACTGCTTGCTTGTTCTAAGTGCTGGCACTGAAAAGCAACACATTCTGAAAGAGACAAACAATCGACATAAGGTTTCTTTGCACTGAAAAAAGTTCAAATATAGGGAAACTATAGAATAAAGGTGTAATAAAACAGAGCAGAGTAATGAAAAAGTTATAAAACAAAATGGGGCAGAGTAAGAGAGTAGTTATATGTTTTTAAAAAAAATGAAAGAAATTAATTACATTAATTCATTACAACAGATAAAAAGAGAAGATAATCAAGTGCACCAAATCAGTAAACCTTTCAATTGGGAAGGCTAGGGCTGTTTATACTATATTTTAATTTGTTACTCAGAGAACAAAAACTGGAGTTTAAGAGCCTTGCTTTGTATCTCAATCCAGGTTCTCTAGAAGAAAGATCTGAGACCAAGCAATCCTGGGTCAGCAAAAGGGAGGTAAGAAGAGAAGTGCTGCAGGGAAGAAGAGAAAGCAGACATAAAGCAGTACATTACTGAGTTGGGTAGAACTTCCCAAGAAAGCATGGCTGGTTACCTGGTCATGTGGAACAACTCTAGAAAAGTCATAAGGAACCATAGAACCTTGGAACTGTTTGTTAGATGGAAGAAGAGACATTTAATGTCAATTCCTTACCAGCTTCTATTCACTGGTAAAGACTCATCCTATGGGACATTAACTCCTCTGTATTTCTGGTTGTGTAATCTATCTCCTTTTGCGTGGCCACTGGGGAAGACATCCCAGTGGAGACAGAACTTCCTGGATCTTGTCTGGTAAGAATTAGGTGCCAGAACCACTCTGGATCTTTCCATGGTAGATGCCATTAGGGGCATGCTAATGCCTGGTCTTCGCCTTGGGGGAGGCTGATAACGCTGGTAGTGTTAGGAGATAAGATGAAAATGGTGGCAATACCTGGGGCTCTCCATTAAGAAGGGGTCAAAACTTGAAGAGAGGTTAGGATTGAGCCAGTATAGAAAAGCACATAGACTTGGCCCAGCACAGGCAAACCCTTGAACAACATGTACTTGCATCATTTTCTGATATCCAGGTAGCATATAAAACAGCATTCTCATATCTTCCCTAAGAGGGAAGTTCAAGTACAATCCTTCAAAGTGATGGCCAGTTACAATTCCCCAAAGACTTAAAGAGAGGTAGTAAAGCAAGTTACTATATGCAATACTCTAGCTGATCCTTGAGGCCTTCATTGATATTCATTACCAATCTTCTCTACCACTCATTCCAGAGTTCCCTCCTATTACACCAGCACTTCAGCTGGTCTGGGTTGCTGCCTTGTGAGGTAACTAAAACCTTAATCCCAAGGGATTAGGCCCCTAATTTCCTTGCCCTCATGTACTCTTGGTTGTTGCAATTTCCCATTCACCTCTGGGCATGGAGCACATCTAAGTTCCAGACATATTTCTCTTTGCTCAGATTGTGAAGCAGAAGCCCTATTTCCCCATGAGGATTAGTACAGTATCTCTTACTATTCTTGCTGGTCCACTGTAGTGAGAAATGCATGGTAACCAGATCGCATGCAGAACCAATCACAGCTTCCAGTTAAGTGGGACTCTTTATGGGTCCCTTGACAGAATTGCCTCTACCCATGCCCCAAGAACCAGGATTCTAACTGGAAAGGTCTAAGGTTGTAGGGAAAGGAAGCACAAATCCACTAATGGGGCACTGTGATTGATTGCAAGAAGGGCCCACCCTTTATCCCAGAGCTGTGTATGCTAGCTATGGTGGGCACAATATCCTATATCAGCTGTTGGTTCAGCACATAAACTTCATTCTGAAGGACAGTACCCCAATCCTAAGGTTTTGTCCCCCTAAACTGGTGCCTTAGGTGAGTCTTTCATGATTAATATTATTCCACTGTTCTATCAGGTCTGTAGCTTTTGGGTGGTGGAGCATGAAGTGAATACAAGCTCATTGTTGCACCTCCTTTGATGTGGCAAGTGTCCTTTGGTAGGAGCAACGTTATGTGGGACACCATATCATTGGATCAGGCATTCTGTAAGCCATCAGATATTGGGTGTCAGCAGTGTGAGCAGGAACAGCAAACACATAATCAGACCATGTTTCACCTACTTAAGATGAATTGCTGCCCTCTCCAAGGTCAAAGGGATCCAACTTAATTGATCTGCCACCAAATAGCTGTTGGGTCTCCTCCAAGGAATGGTGCCATATTAGCGCCCATTGTCAGTCTATTTCTGGCATTTAACATTTAGCAGTAAGAGTAGCTACATCAGCCTTGGAGAAGGAGGCCATGTGCTTGGGTCCATGCATAGTCCCCGTGTCTGCCACCAAGGCCATTCTCTTCATGGGTCTATTGCATAAACCCTGGGGTATCTGAGAAAGGAGTCTGGCTAATATCCACACGCAGGTGATAACATCCATCTGGTTATACTCCTCTGTAGTATTTGCTTTCTGATAGGCGTGGTTCTGAGGCATAAAGGCACTTTGTGCTCACTCTTATAAGCCCATCCACATACCCCTTTGCCCAGACTCCTTGTATCCAATCTTCTAGTCTTATTTTTTCCAGGCCCTTGAAGCCATTCACTCTGCCAATACTTAATGTATATCCTTAGCTCAGGCCATTCATTTAGAGGAAGCTCTAAATGAATAACAATTATACTGTTCTGCAGATCTGCTCACTGGCTGGATTCCCTCACTATTGACCTTAAGTTCTATCTAACACACCAGGCCAACCCATCTTTATAAGAGTTTGAGTTCTTTCCTCCTCCATGAGTTAGTCATATGAAAACTCCCACGTAGGCGTGAGATGAGAGACAAGCATCATGCAATAGAGGTACCGACAAGAGGTCAATTACTTGAGACTCTGCGACATCTCTTCATGATATATGCTCGTACTTTCTGGATCTGCTTGAGTCCAATTCCAAATGTATCACTCCCATCTAACAATATATTACTCCTACACCACACAGTGGGCTCAAATCAACACCCAGTATGTAATGGGCAGCTCCAGTCTCAGAGTCACTTTATGTCCCATCATCAGGGTTTCAATCTCTACTAGTGCCCAGTATCATACCAGGGGCTGTTCTTCAAATGAAAAGTAGCTCCCTGATGCAGGATGCACCTGCACATTCCAGAACTCTAAAGGTCTGCATTGAAACTTTCTTACTAGAATTGCCAAAGGCTCCACACAGAAGCACTGTTTCTCATCATAGATACTTTCAGGCCCCTTGGATCTCCTTGGTCATGTACCCAAGGGCTCGCAACACAGTTGGGATCTTTTGCAGTGTCCCTCCTCCCTTTGACACATATGTATATA